GGGGGTTGAGGTTTCGACAACAAGGGCCATTAGCCTGTGGAACTGTCGGGGAGGGAACTGTTGGTTTTGGTATTCGTGCACGAATCCATGGATGTTTTGGCAGAATTTCGAATGGACACCCGTAGGTTTCTGCCATGTCATAACCTAACCTAACCGGCGACCGTGGGCTTCACAACCGACGCCTTAATCCACCCTATCACTACACCCCCTCATATAAATATATAATACTACCTATACCTATACCTACCCTACTTTATATGTTGGTCAATATTTTAAAATTACATTTTTATTAATACAGTTTGATCCAGTTTTTTAAATAATTAGTTACCTATAAAGAAGTCAGTGAGTTTATTATAATGAATATAAATTACAGTTATCAGTTAAAATTAATTGGTGGGCAGATACTGAGATATACCTTGTGATAATTATAGACTATATCATGCCTGATTTTAAGGGTAAGCTATATTATTCGATAATGTATTATTATTTATTATCATTAATATCATACAAAGTTTTGTTTTAAAAACATGAAAAATGATTAACTTTACATTTTTGAATTAGCCTATAGTTAAACGAATCACCTGTAAACTCACTGTATAAATTGTTTAAAGCTATACAGCAATATAACAATGATATGTATATTCTTGACGAAATCGAATCATATAATATTAATGATATGCTATACAGCGTGTATAGTGTATTACCTATATAACCGACGTCATTCGGTGTACGATATCACAATTATATAGGTACATCGATTAGTTACAGCGGTATTGGTATATAATATGTATATGATACAGATCGTAATATATATATTATATTATATAGGTATAACGTAAGTGATTTTATTTTGTAAAAACCTCGTAAACCGACTAGCCGGTTGCAAATTATTTCGCTTTCGCCTTAATTGGACGAAAGGAATGTTTCGCAAACTGTATCAAATCGAATCGCTCGGACGTTTTGCACTTGTGTTATTATTATTACCATTATCATTATCATTATCATCAGACGTGTCGAAAGATTCACGTGTACCCATATACATACGATGCTCATTGCTCATTTGAGACGATGATGATGATAATAATAATAATAGTAAAAATAACAATTATTAGTGTTATTATTACAGGGTTGTAATCGGATATACTATACAATATTATAATATTTATGAAAATGGGTATATTGCCATTTTGTTCGTAATGACTAATGAGAGTTCGGTACTAGAGCAATATAATATATACCTAATATTTGCCTCGCAATATCAATAATGATGTTGTGTGAGTATATCACACATGTCCGACGAGTACTATATAATATATGATATATATATATATGTACATATGTATGTACGTCTGCAAGCCGTAACTTTTATCTTAACACACATTATTGCATATTATTATTATTATTATTATTATGAGTATAACACATAATAATATTTTATCGGTAGTACGCGTTTATATACTTATAGTCATAAACGTGTACGTAATTGACTGTAACGCACATGGACACGTGCACCGTAGCTCAATCTCGGCATTATAATA